ACCTCTCATGGATTGGTGCTGGAACTGGAGTCTTCTTTGCAACCGTCTTTCTTATTGGTACAAAGGAACCTCTGGCACGTGCGAGAAGAAAGAGCACATTCTCGGGTATTATGGTTAGTAAAAAACTGAGGTAAAAGTCCTTCTAGTGAGTTTAATGTGTCCACACAGTGATTATAGTAATGAAACATTATTAAGATAACGGTTTCTTGTCGCTCTCGCCTTGAACTATAAATATCTTAACGCAATTATCTCTACCAGACCTTTCACTACCTACCTGATTCGGAAGCTAGGAATCAGGGTAACAGGATTGTTACAAGAAGAACGATTAACGGCATTCTGCATTACAGCAAGTTATGTGCAACGTTAGCTAGGTTTGTGAGATGGACGAACTTAGTCTTGACTTGATATTTCCTTGTAGAACGCTCCAGGAATATTTGTACTGCCACACTTTGGAAGAAAAAGTGCAAGTAAGTCTTCAAACTTCAAACAATATAATATGAGTCTACTTTGAGACACTATGACGTTGTAAAATTATCAAATCGACTATGGTTTTGAGTGGTCTGTTCTCTTGACGACAACGATATTCGTCATTTCACTGCTTAAAATGTTGTGGACTTAAGAGGCGCAGCCGAGTGAGTCTGCAAAACATTTTCACCACGATATCGAAGTTAAATAAAACGATTCTTTCAGTGCGTGACATGCTGCGTGATACGATAACGCGAGGCGCGTCGTCTGTACTCTTATCGACAACTGCAAAGTGCCTCGTTATATTACGACTTTACTGCCAATTGTAAAAAAAATTGCTTTGCCAGTGTTCGTTCAGAATGCTTACAAGTTTGAATTGCTAAATCGTTTAGAAAGAAAGTTTTGTCCAATAATTGGTTATCTTTTTTCAACGGTAAAGGTTCTTCACAAATCGACCTCGCTCATAGATTTGTGGACATGATTATGGCTTCGTCTCAAGTTGAAACTTATCAGCATGAGCACAACGGACATGAAGAAAACCAAAGCCATAAACAGCGAGAAAGAAGAAAAAGTCTACTGCACAAGTTTGCTGCTGCAATATTTTTCGATGGGGAAAACGAAACTGGCCTTACTCAATCTGTCCCTGATCCGAAGGAGGGAACTAAGAACCCAGATAGTGAGGATGCAAAATCGCAAATGTGTTTAGAAGTACAGCAATTAGATCGTGAACGTAAGAAGAGTCTGCTAATGCGTTTTTTTGACGGACTCCTTGCACGATTAGATCAAGAAGAGGAGGAGCAACCTAAATTCACTGTCGACATTGATGACGAAGTTTCATTGGGCAGCGAATGTGAAAGGTATTTAACCCATGAAGATAACTATAAAAAGGAAGAGATCAAGATCTTTCAAAAC